TTCAGACATGAGAAACCAACCCAACTGAACATCTAGCACCCCAAAAATTTGTTACGTTGAAATTTTGCCCATGAGGGTAAACAGGTAACTAGTGTTTTCACGAACATGGCATTCGTTTGTTTGCTCGGGCGCCATTTAGCGGTGATAGGCGCCAATTTGGTGCCACCACTCTTTCCATCAAAATGGATGAAAACTTGTATGCGGTGGTTATCCGACATGCGGATTGAGAACATAGCATTCGTCTTTAACGGCGGCGCCATTTGGAGCCAATTTGGCAATACCCACCTTTCTAACGAAAATCGATGAGAACGTGTTTACGAGGTTAGCTGAACCCTGAATAAGAATCCGGGATTATTTTCTGCACTGGCGTTAATCTAGAGCACTGGCCGTGGCGGGAAGGGAGCCACTCCTTCCTGGGCTCAGAGTTAGAATAGCGCCAAGTGACGACCTTCTACACTCCGCCAATGGTAACGGGTGCCAGATTAGTCCGGTAGGATAGAAACAGTGACGTGTACGCTGCACGTCCCCCTGGTATGTGCCAAGAGAATCGTAATCGCCCCGCCAGCGGGCGTCGCATGCGACGTCGCACCGCTGTTGATGACAATTTTAGGTGGTATTGGTCGAGAATAGACAATGTATGACCAAAAATAGACAAGTGTCTACCATGTCCTTGTCTACATGAAATCCGATGCTCCAATCGAAAGGGTAGTACAAATTAAGGAAATGTCGCGCCCATTGCCGCGCGCGACGAAGCGGTACTTACATTCTCTTACGAGCGGTTGTCCCCTCCCGATTTTCGCCTAGGGAGCACATTCTACGGATGGAGAGTAGCAAAGACCCTACTTCCTGATCTCCAGGCGGAGCTTCCATAACTTCAGGCTTGCGGCACGCCCAATATTGTGTATTCACGGAATAGATACATTTGATTTCACGGGCAATGTTTGGGGTGCCTTATAGCGCCTGTCTTCCTGAAGTTATGATGTTGGGCTGCTGCCGAGAGGGACTAATCAACAGCGAAAGCTTTTTTCGCTCATCACAATTAAGATGCGAAATTCTGCAAATAATTTTTTTACCTTATGTTCATACAAATGAGGTGATGTGGTCCGCCACCAAATAATAGCTGGGAATGACAAACAAGCGGACATCATCCATACGCCACAAATAGCCATCAAAATACGTCGTTTCGAGACTTTATCACGATATCCTATGGGATCTTGGCCAGCCATGTATCTGAAGCACATAATCCGATAACCTGTGAGCATGTGATCACCTACTAGTCACATAAAAGGAGTAATTCTACAAATTAATTATTTTGATCGT